CATAATTAAAAATAAAAGCCCTTTTTTGTTTTCTAAAAAAAGAAAAAGAGAAAAAAAAAAAAAAAAAAAAAAAAAGCCTCACTAGGTAGATAATAGTTAACGATACTCTATTCTTCCAGAACAGCTGAGCTTCAAATACAGGTAAGAACCATTTCTAATGATTATTCATAATTAGCTGACATTAATCACAAAAGAACTTACCAGAAAGGTAAAGAGAAATCATAGTAAAGCAAGCAGTTTAAAATAAAATATTATTTCACCCTCAACTACCACATTATAATAAGATTAAAAAAGTATTTAGGGCATCACTGTTCTTATTTATAGGGCTTTCTTCTGTTTGCTTTCTATAACCTGTTCTTAACAGGATGCAGAGAGACTTATAAGTAGAGATTTAGATGGGATGCAAGTATTTTTAGGTGTGTTTATATATTAAATAAAAAATAAATGTATAAAACAATATGAAACAGAATTATGACTTCTTAAAAAAAATAAGTTTTAGCACTTGAATGCTAATGAGTACTAAAGCAAACCACTAAAGAGTAAAAAAGAACTGATCTGAGTTTTCAGAATAAGTGGAACTACCCTTACACACAGCATTTCACAAAACATCACGGTGGTAATTTGTTTGCCATAAAGCAGTTAACTACCAGCAGAGCTGTGCAACAACTCCAACATGCCTCTAGGTGGCACATCGCATATTATTCACATGTGACCAAGGCACCCAGGCTGATACCTCAAGTATCCACTTACATCAGCCTAGATTTCTATACAGTTCATAAGAGGATTTTTTAAAAATCCTGACCCCACTTATCTACTGAAGTACACTGAAGAGTTAGGTCAATTCTTTGGAATTTGCTAACTTGTCCTTTCTTAATTTGAAATTTGCTTATTTACCCACATTAAATAGTTACCAAGGGGTGGGTTGCTTTGTACATCTGTAAATCTTTAACTTTCTAATGTGTGAACAAAGTGCTAAATGCTGACACAAAGACAAATTTCCCTCATGGCAATAAATATTCCAGAAAGCAATCTGTCAAGAAAAATGTCTATTTAGAAAGATTCTTATACTTTCATAAGGCAATATGTCTACTGTATTTATTTATTTGCATAAATACTTCTAGAAGGAAGTCAGCAAGAACTATGAGATGTAAGCATTGCCAAGCACTATCACAGTTAGAACAATCATGGCATTTGGAAACCGTTTCATGTCAGGCAAAGTCTTAGGATACAAGAGGGCTACTGGCCTGAGAGCATCAACACTAGCAATGCATTTAATGTCTCTGCTGTAAAGCTAGATCTAGTCTTTTCTTCTCGAGCACTACCACAGAGAAAATGCAGAGGCAATGGCAGTATTAGAACACTATTTCCAAGATGTTCTCACATTAACAATCCATGAGATAACTGTAATAATCCAGGACACAGATAGCCACTTAAGACAATTCCAGAAAATGAATGAACCAGAAAGGAGTTCTTAAAACATCTCAGCAATGGTGTTTGCCATTCAGATTCTGAGTAGTGAAGCAGTATACATTTCTACCTGTATCTGAATTTGCCAAGACTTATTCAGCAGCCAGTTCCCTGAGAAGCTACTCCAGATTAAAAATTCATTATTCTTCCATAAGTGAAAGGCCAGGAGATCAATGTATAGTTTTCAGCTGCAATGTAATTTTTGTCAGAGACTACTCAGAACAAAACATCACCCAATATTATGACTTCTACTAAGGAAGATTCTTATCTTCCCATCAGCCAGAAGCCTGGCAGCTGGTAGCTTACAAATTATTTTCAAAATCTTACTGTAGATGTGGCCTTTTGCCAGAAAAGCACTTTAGAGTTCACTCAGTTTAATCAAACCAGAGGTGGTGACAGAAAAAACTGAAGTACCAGCTATCTCAACACAAGTGAGCTTTAACCTTGCTGTGAAAGTGTTGTTTTTTGTGCTGAATACATTTAAACATAAAATTAACATACTTATTGCTGTCCTTTATCTATATAACCTTTAAATAACAAAAAACGCAGAGATCATCAGACTGCTACTATGTCAGGGCATGTCTTTTTGCACTGAAGTAAGTGCCTCAGAGATGAAGGATCTGCAAAAGATGTTGCTTTTCTTTTGTCTGCTTTCCTGTGTGGCTGCTAACATGGAAGCAGAATATCAGAAATGTTTGGAAATTACACTCCATTTCCACTAGGAATTCTCTTACATTTGCAGAATTCCACTCACTCCAAATTGTTTCCACATGACATTTGCCAGCATTGCTATTAGTCACTGACCCTCATGCCCTCTAGCTCCTCAGCAGCCCTCAACGGGATTGGGACACGAGCGCTGGTGGAAGGGCACCACAGAGCAAAAACCTCTCCAGGGACTGTGATAGTCCCTTCAGTTGCCAAGTTTCCCTGCTCCAATATTATTTCATTCAATCACATGCTGTGTTTCATTTGAATGAGAATATAGAATGAATTTTCAGAAGCAATACTGACTGGATGGAGCTACTGAACTTCAACAAGACACTTTATTAGAGCTTTATTACTAATTATTATCAAATTACAAAATGAAGATTTCTGCATAAAACTACAGTCTCTCTAAACAAAGAAAATGAGCTGTGATTTTGTGATTTTGTCAAATAAGAAGTGTTTATTATTCTTCTGAAAGGACACACTATGCTGAGATACAATTCAATTAAGAAAACCAACAGCTATTTTTTTCTCTACCCAATTTTAGAAATGTCAGTATTCACACAGTTACAGGACTTTGCTCTTTGCCATTTGTACAACTGCATGACATTGTCAATAACGTGCCAAGTACAAAGAGGAGAATGTAAGAAAAAAAAGATTTGAAATGAGCTTTCTTTTGTGTGTGCCAATCTAGCCAAAGTTTAATGCCAGCATTTTTAAAGGGCAGCGACAAAACTTTAATTTTTTCCTACAAACCTTCAATTCTGATTTTGGAAAGGGTGGAGGAAGGAATCTAACAGTACAAATTACAACTGTACAATTGCAATTTGTCAGAGAACAGAAAAAAGGGCAATCATGGACTATAGCATACAATACGGGAAAGCTTTTCAATTTACTGTTGCTAAGACGTCAGTAAAATGATGCCGATGTTGCTTTGTGCTTTTGTCTAATTGCACATGGCAGATCTGTTCAGCCACGCTCACTGAAACACTAGTGACTGATTTTCTTGTGAGAGATTGAGTCATCAGTTTTCCAAATGTGATGCATCATCCTTTACAGTCATCTAGTGCATCTATGTATTTATATGCAACGCACATTAGAATCATGGTATTTACAAGTAGTATCTAGTGTAGTCTACATTATACTGTGAGCAAGGCCCTACACCAACCCTTCAAAACACGTCCTTCATAGACCAGCTTGGCTGCCTGATGGCCAAGAAGGTGGCTGGTGATTCACCTGACTGACCAGCACAGCAGCACCAGCCACCATTCAACATATTAAGGACCAAGTCTTGAAGTATTCTGTAAATATACAACGTGAAAAATTAACAGCTTTGGTAAGAACTTCAGCGC